TTTTATCTATCTATCTATCTATCTATCTATCTATCTATCTATCTATCTATCTATCTATCTATCTATCTATCTATCTATCTATCTATCTATCTATCTATCTATCTATCTATCTACCTGTCTATCTATCTATCTATCTATCTATCTATCATCTTTTTTTTAGCAATTATGTATTAAATTGATGAATGATGAATAATGATAGACATTTATAATGTTACAAAAAATTGGAAATAAATGCTGTTTTTTTAAAACTTTCTATTAACTAAAGAGTCCAATATATTATGATTTCCACAATTTTTATTAGGCAGCACAACTGTTTTTAACATGAATAATAATATCTTTTTTTTAGCAATTATGTATTAAATTGATGAATGATGAATAATGATAGACATTTATAATGTTACAAAAAATTGGAAATAAATGCTGTTTTTTTTAAACTTTCTATTAACTAAAGAGTCCAATATATTATGATTTCCACAATTTTTATTAGGCAGCACAACTGTTTTTAACATGAATAATAATCATGTTTGTTAAGCAGCAAATCAGCATATTAGAATGATTTCGGAAGGATCATGTGACACTGAAGCCTGGAGTAATTATGCTATAAATTCAGCTTTGCATCACAGAAATAAATGACATTTTAAAACGTATTCAAATAAAAAAATCGTAATGAGATATACTGTTTTCTTTGTATTTTTGATTAAATAAATGCACCCTTGGCAAGACTTACTGACACATTTTCAACAGCAGAGACATACAGACACACACAGAGCATATAATGGAGGGGCGGTACGTACTCTGGCCGTACTGGCTGTACTGGTATCCAGCAGTGACGGGGTCCATGCTGTAGCTGGTGGCGCTGTATGTGGGGTGACAGTAGGACTGAGAGGAGGCCAGACTGTCCACACTCTTGATGGGGTCTGAACGCTGGCTGCAGCTACCTGAGATGGGGTTAGACGCCTCCAGACTGCCGTGGAGAGGAGAGATGGAGAAATCGTGCTGAGGCTGGGACGGGACGGCGCTGGGGTTACTCAAAATACTCATCACCTAGAGAGACACAAAGACAGAAGCAGGTGTTTAGCAGGAATGGCCAACTTGCATGTAAAATGACCAATAAAGGACAACTTGCTTTTTATGCAATCTTTACAGCAAAATATAAAGTTGCATTTAGTTTCTCAAACAAATTTTGTGAAGGCACCGTACATTGTATTTGCTAAATGAAGTCCAGTACTTGTTTCTTACTATTTTTGGGTGCTGATTCCAGAATATAGTGCCTGTTTTGCTTAAGCATGTCATAGTTTCTCACAAAATATGATGCATTTTGTTGCATTTTTGCTTTCTAGAACCATTTCTAAGGTGAACAAGTCTTGTATTTTTTCTTAATCACCAGATTTCACAATGATTTGTTCAATTCTCAGCTGATTTTCACGTTATTTTATGCTTGATCCTAATTTCCTGGTGCTTGACTGCTTTTGTTATTTCTATAAGAACATTAAAGCTGATACATATGCAATAAGAAAAAAAAAACGTCATTCTTATTTTATGAAAGACTACAAGATGGAAGGATTTTATTTGTATTTTTGAACTAAGCATAATCAAATTTTGTATTATTAAGCTTCTTCTTTTTTTTGTGTGCAAAGGTCTGTGATATCTTTCAAAGATGCTTTTTGATCTTTTTGGCATGTGTTTAAGAGTGGCAAATACTTTAACTTTGAACGCTTTTGCAGATATTTAATGCTCTGAGGTATCAAATAACAACAAGAGTTCCTCTCACATGGCAGGTCATTCTCACAGTCCGAAAAAAAAATGGAGGGAAGGGACAGAGAGTGAATTGGTGCCAGGCACAGAGCACAACCAGCGTCCCAGAGTGATTAGCAGTGGCCAGAAAGAATGATACAGCAAAAGAAAGCGACGGGGGAGCGAGGCCAGACCCATCAGACCCCAGTGGCAGTGCCAAACAGACCCCTGTTCCGAGGCCTCCAGCACAACAAGCACTGAGGGAGAAGATAATCCCGCCCCCAGGCCCCAGAAACACCCCCACGCTCATGAATAATAATGAGCAGCCGCCAGAACAGAGCCAAGTATGTGATCTCCCATCCCTAACACAAAGGCCGCGCTCTTAAACTAACATTAATGTGAGCACAAGCTGCTTGTTTATCTGTTTGTGCATAGAAAAACAAAAAAAGAATGGTTAAGATCTGCATTGTTTGTGGTATTTGCAATCAACTCAATTAATGACTGTTTGAATACTTTCATACCACTCATGCTAATTTTGCAGTAAAATGCATATACTTTGCCATGAATGACCTACTAAATTAATCAAAATGTTGAACAATGCAATGCACTTGACTTGATCCACCGTTCCTAGTATGAGGAATGAAACGGAGCCTCGATTTTAACTCTTACAATCATTACTAGATTTACAAAAGGCATTACTCTTAACTAAACATCTTAAAGGGGTCATATGATGCGATTTCAATTTTTCCTTTCTCTTTGGAGTGTTACAATCTCTTGGTGCATAAAGAAGATCTATGAAGTTGCAAAGACTAAAGTCTCAAATCCAAATAGATATTCTTTATAAACATTAAGAGTTAACCACGCCTACCTAAAACGGCTCGTTCTAACATGCCCCCACATATCTACGTCACGATGTGGGAAGATTTGCATAACGTCGCCCAAATGTTCACGCAAAGAAAGAAGGCGTAACTTTTATTCTCGCTGTAGTATTGTTGCCGTCGGTGAATGAATGATAGAATGAATGAATGAATAAATAAATAAATGTTTTTTTTTATTTTTATGACCAAGTATCACATAATAACCCTGAAAATAAATATAGAAAAATAATTCAATAAAATAATAAAATTGTTTTGTTTTAGTATTTCTTGACCAACTATCAGATAACACCTCATTAAAAATTTTTTATAAAATAAAGAACAAAAATAAATAAATAAATGCAATATCAAAATATAAAAAAAATGAATGTATTTAAAAAAAAATAGTTTGCTTCATACACTAGTAATGCAAACAGGTCACCTTCGACTACATTCTAGCTTAGAAAAATAAACACTCTTTAAACAACATGGAGCATGAGGTCTGGTGAAAAGGTAAAAAAAACAGGGAAACCGATTAAGAAAGGAATAAGAACAAAAGAAGAAATAGTGTTTGGGGCTGGAGAAGAGTTTTCCAGGAAGCCCCACACATGGTCTTCCCTCTCAGCCGACAGAAAGCATCCTTCCCAGCATCAGGTTCACGTTAAAAACCTTGATTTTGTTCTGAAGTATTTTGAATTTAGAAATAAATTTAACAGATAATCTTGACTTTAATTTTTTTATTCATTATTTTGAATTCGAGACTCACTTTAAAAAAGTGAGATTGCAGGCTTTCCCTTAATGGATAAAATGTAATTTTTGAATTCTGAACTTTGAGCCATCGTCTTTTTGTGTGCAATATCTGTGGCAATATGTGAGAACATATATATGTTATACAATGGAGAGGGTTATTATGTGTTATATATTTTAAGAGCCTTCCAAAAAATTGGCCAAACATCTAGCATAACATAGTCTTATTTAGTCAGCTATACCTTTGAATAGACATCAATGAAAGGGACAGTTTGCCCAAAAATGAAAATTCTTTAATCAGAAGAAGATATTTTGAAGAATGTTGGTGACCAACAATAACAGTTAACAATAACAATAGCCATTGACTTCCACAGAATGAAAAAAAAAAATACTACAGAAGTCAAGGGCTACCGTCAACTGTTTGGTCACCAACATTCTTCAAAATATTTTTTTTTGTGTTCAGCAGAAGACAGAAACTCATGCAGGTTTGGAACAACTTGAGGGCAAGTAAATGATGACAGAATCTTCATTTTTTTGTGAACTGTCCCTTATAGTTATGGCCAAATTTTTAACTCTTGCCCCCGGTTTCACAGACAAGGCTTAAGCTAGTCCCAGATTAAATGCTTGTTTAACAGTTTTAACTGAAAGAAACTTGCACTGACATGTCTTAAAATATGTCATTGCCATTGTTTTGTCTCAAGATGCAAACCAATAATATTTTTGTCTGAGGCACGTTTATAAAAGTTAAATGTTCTAACTGAACTATGGACTAATACCAGGCCTTGGATTCATACAAGCACTTTACAGTGATTAATTTCATATTGGATGTGTTTATTAAACTGACAAATTGTGGTTGTGTTGTTCTGTGTTCAACAGTATTTTAGTTAGACATTGTTCAGGGGAATCGTGACCTTGACGCACCTTGACCAAAAGTGGCATAACCACTAAACTTCGCCGCAGGGGAAAGATTAAGCTCAGCTGAGATTGTATTACAAATCTACCCACCCAGAACATTAACGCAGCTAAATAAACAAAAATCAATATCATTCAGACTATTAATCTGATACGGGAGTGTGTGACATATCTGCGCAAAACAAGCACCTCCGGCGAACGTCGGCTGATAATACAGTTCACAAACTAAATAAACCTTCATTTCACATACTTGAATTCTCTTTCCTTCCCAAGTAGGCTATACATTTCTTTCCTTTGTTTCGACTATATCTTCTGCAGTGCTTTTCTTGTTTGTTGTGCGTCGTGTGCGCGGTAGATAATGGAAGTCAGGGCTCCAGTGTTTAAAGGACACAGCCCAGAGGCAATGCCTTCCTCTCTCCAAGTAGATTACTCCATAAATAATAATAAAAAAACTAATTAACTCTCCAACTTCTGAGACCCTCCAGCCTGAGGCGGCGCAAACCTAGAATTGTAAATTGATACAATGTGCATCCTTTTAGATAAATAAATAGTGCATGTGCAACACAGTAAAAGGGATTCTTTCATACCACTCTAATTTCCTTAACAGTCAATTTATAAATTTTTTGTCTGCTTAAATATAGCATGAGTCCTTTCGTGTTTAGTCAAGCTCTGGAGAAACGGCTCGACAACTACGGAGCTAAAAGGAATCTGTCGGGTGCAGATGATAACATTTCAAGAGGCGATTTTCCCAAAAGCCAAACATTAAGGTTGTGCTACAACTGCATGTTCACTAGAATAAGAAGAAAAAAAAAGTAGTACTTGAAACAATTGTATTGAAAAAATAGAATTGCAAACAACTCATTCTTCCTCTATATTAAGCATTAAAAATAATGTTACAGTATTTCTGTGCAAATTATAAATGGTCGCAATCTGGCACAAATAGCGAATCACTGCCACTTTCACTCACCGTTCGACCAATGCATTTTCATACCTTTTCCAGTTGTTTGTCATTACTGGATAAGGAATATTAAAAGTAATTTCACAGAGATTGCACTCAATATAATATTCTGGTCATTAGGGTTATGATAGTTAACTAAAACTAAAACGACAATTTTATTCAAATTTAAAAAATAAATTAAATTAAAACTTAAATGTATTATATTCATTATTATTTATTATTATTATTTTTTTTTAAATAAAATAAACATTAAATGAATAAAATAAAAAATAAAAAACTTTTACCAAGTCAAAATTTCTCATTTTAATTTAGATTAACTTAAAGTAAAACTAAAATTTCTAAAACTAAAATAAGACTTTATGTATATAAACAAAAAAAAAATAAAATAAAAACTATAGCTGGTTCAAAATATTAATAATATTTTTTTTGTCCCAAAAATTTGAATGTTTTGTTGGCTGAACAATTGACACTCCAGTACTTTTGCAAAAATCCAGTACAATTTTTTCACAAATTTTGCAAAACCACAAACTATATCTAAACCTACACATACATATTCACCAGAATAATTTTCACAACATCCAACAATAACTCAAAGTACATAAAAATACATAAATAGCTAAATTTTCGTCTCTTTCTAACCTCTATTGTGATGCTTGTTCATTATTACAAACAATGTTTTTTCAAGAGTTTGTCCGTACATCAAATCAAATATGGCATCTACTTCGACCAAAGTCTATTTATATCTGAACACAGAGCTAAAAGCAGATATACAACATTTCAAAATGAAACAAACTACATATACTAAAGATAAATAAAGAACGCAGTGAAATGCAGGGATG